GAAAGGCGCAAAGCTACACAGAGAAACCCTATCTCGAAAAAACAAAAAACAAAAAACAAACAAAAAAACCCAAAAAAAAAACCCCAAAAACAAATAAACAAACAAACAAAAACGCCCAACAATTTAAAAAAGATTTCCCCTCCTGCTGTACTAGGGATTGAACCCAGGGCCTTGTGCATGTAGAGAAGCACTTTACTGTGAGGTGCATCCTAGTCCTCTTGGTCTCCCACCCTGAGACTATGGCATTCTCACCTTAGCTCTCCAGACTGCCTTCGTGTGTGTGTGTGTGTGTGTGTGTGTGTGTGTGTGTGTGTGTATGCACAAGCATGTATGTGCATGTGACTTCACACTGCAATGTGAAGGCCAGACAATTTCATGTGTCTTTCTCAATCACTATCTTACTTTTTCTTTTTATGAATGTTAGTGTATATGCATGTGTGTATGACTGTATGCCTATGTGTGTGTACATGTGAGTGTATATGAGTGTATACCTCTGTGTGTGTGCATATATGTGTATGCTTGTGTGTGCATGTGAGTGTGTATGAGTGTATGCCTGTGTGTGCATGTGTATGACTGTGTAAATGTATGAGTACATGTGCATGTGTATATGACTGTGTGTACATGTGTGTATAAGTGTATGCCTCTATGTGTGCATGTGCACATGTGTGCATGTATGAGTGCATGCCTGTGTGTGTGTACTTGTATGGTGTGACACACATGTTGAAGTACAGCCAGCAGTACTCTCTCCCTCCTTTAGGTGAGTATCAGACATTGAACTCAGCTCATTAGGTTGGTACAGCAAGTCCCTTTACCCTCTGATTCATCTCCCCAACTCTCCATCTTGCGTCTTGAGACAGGATCTTACTTAACCTGGAGCTCATCCCATCAGGTCGATTGGCTGGCCAGCAAGTGGCCCAGATCCACCGGTTTCCACCTAGCTCTGGGCAGGTTTTGGCTGCCATACCCGGCTTCTATGTGGGTGCTGGTGATCTCAGGTCTGCACACCCCCTGAGTGTCCTTACCCACTGAGCCATCTCCCCAGTCCCAAGATACACTCAAAAGAGGCACCAGGACACTTACACACTGCTGGTGGGAAAGTAAGCTGGGTAGCCACTGTGGAAACCGGTGCGGAGGTTCCCAAAAAACTAAACACAGAGCCACCATATGATTCAGTTCCTCACTATAAGCCAGGATTGTGAGCACACCATAGAGATGCTTGTATATTCACAGTCATTGTCGCCCTGCACAATCATGAAGGTACAGAACCAAGATACCTATCCACAGATAGACAGAGAATATGTTGTTCATATACACAACGGAATCATGCTTAGGCATGAAGAATGAAATCATGGTATTTACAGAAAGTAGATGCTGCTGAAGATTATGTTAAACAAAATAAAGCCAAATTGAGAAAGACTTTTTCCATTTTATGCAGAGTCTGGATTTAAATCTGTGTGTATTCAGAGCGTGTGCACATGGGTAAAGCGAAAGGGAATTAGGGGAGGAGGAATTTTCAGGGGTGGGGTGGGTGGAATACCAAATCACCTGTGAGAAGCAGAAATCAAAGTATTTGAAGGAAGGATGGGGAAGGACAGGGGGTGAGGGGCACTAATTAAACATTCTGATGGTGTTTGTGTATGAGGATGACACAATTAAATCAACCATTTTGTATGTGAACTTAAAGAATTAACAATAAAAAGGAGGCAGTCTGGCCAGTGGGGGGCAAAACTCTAGGTGGAGATCAGAAGTTGAGGCTGGCGTAGGATTTCTGCAGCGTCTATGGTACTTTTAGGGTGGGTTAAGCAATATCCTCTTTGTTAAGATTGGTATCGCACTCTGAGAAAATTTGATTCGGTTGTAAAGTCCCAGTTAAATTCTTAGCTACAATCGGAGAAATGCAGCCTTTGATTACAACTCAAATTTCCCCAGCCCTCTGAGAGGCTGGGGGAGGGGAGCAGGTGTGGGAGAACATCTGATCCGTCCCATGCTTCAGAGAGCCATAACCGTGTTTGGGTAAGACAGCCCGATGTTCTGATAAGACTGATAAAAGTAACCTGAAGGCTGGGTCGCAGGAAGCCCAAGATAAATGCCGAGAGGAAACAGGTTGTTTTTGAAGTAGCCTCTACACCATCGCTTTCCCACACAAGGGCTCAGCTTCCGAAGGAAGACGGAATACCTGATTTGCTTTGCAAATGAAACTGTTTAAGGAGCAACTCTGCTTATCTACTAACAAATGTGTCTGGAGGCTCTCCCCCTCAACCTGAAGCTCGGTGGGCTTCAGAGCCCCTGGACTGTGGCTGCTGAACTTGCGCTGACTGAAGCCCCAGACTTGGGCTGACGGTGAACATCATTCATTCAGATACTACCTAGTTTTACACATGAATTGAGTGATTCACTGGAAAAGATGAGAACAGGAAACAGCAATGATGGCTAGCCCTGGTAGCTCCTGCCTGTGATCTCAGCACTCAGGAGGTGGAGTCAAGATGATCAGAAACTGAAGGTCATCCTTGGCTATATACAGAGTTGGAGGCTAGCCTGGGCTAAGTAAGACACTGTCACAAAAAAACAAAAAATGCGGGGTTGGGGGTGGAGGGTGGGGCTGTAGAGATGGCTCAGAGGTTAAGAGCACAAACTACTTTTCCAGAGGACTGGAGTTTAGTTCCCAGCACTCATGCTGTGTGGCTCACAACTGTCTGTAACCCCAGCTTAAGGGGATCCGACGCCCTCTTCTGGCTTCCACTGGCAATTGCATTCATGTGCCAATACCTCCCCACCCCTACTCCCACCAAACACAAAAAAATCCTAAAAGCCTGGCAGGGGTGGCTCACACCTTTAATCCCAGCACTAGGGAGGCAGAGCCAGGCGGATCTCTGTGAGTTTGAGGCCAGCCTAGTCTACAGAGTGAGTTCGAGGCCGGCCTGGTCTACAGAGTACAGGACAGGCACCAAACCTACACAGAGAAACTCTGTCTCCAAAAAACAGGGGGGGGGGGGGAAGAGCATGGCTGAGGAGGTAGATCAGCAAGTAAAGTGCTAAGTTTGGCGGAGCACTCATGTAAAAATTGGAGCAGAGCAGTATCTGCCCAGGGGAGGCAGAGAAAGAAGCATCCCTGGGACTCACCCATCTGCCATCCTGGCCTAACCACCAGATCCTAGAGCAGTAAGAACCCTACACACACACACAAACACACACACACACACACACACACACACACACACACAGAGAGAGAGAGAGAGAGAGAGAGGCACGCACACACACATACATGTGTGCCCCTCAAAACTAATGCTCTTAGTCTCAAAGAAGGGAGTAGGAAATGGTGACCCAGTGTCAACTAGGCAACAGGTAAGGAGGCCATTAGATCACATAGTTCAATCAAAGAAATTCTTGAAGGCCGGGGAGACAGTTCAGCAGTTAAGAGCACTAGCTGCTCTTACAGGACTAGAATTCAGTTTCCAGGACTCACATGGTAGCTCTCAACTGTCCCTAAATCCAGTTCAGAGGGATCTGATGCCTTCTCCTGACCATTGCAGGCACCAGGCACACTCATACTGCACATACATAGATGCAGGCAAAACATGCAAACTCATAAAACTCATAACTCTTTAGAAAGGAAAAGGATATCGTGAAGACATCCATTCCTAAAGGACACCAGGCTTTAGAGAAGATTGCTTTGGGGCTGTCCTGGGACCTTCCTGAGTGTCCAACCATTCCCTGACCCCCACCAGCTGTAATTCTGCTCGAATTGTTTATGGCCTCAGGGTCTCTGGGAGGGACTGGAGAAGGAGAACGTAAGTAGGAAGGAAGAGGAGGGAGATGGTCCCATCTCCACAGCCACGGAGAAGCCATCATCCCGGCTGGGGATGACACTGCCTGCACCATCCTTCCAAGGACTGTCAACAGTCACCAAGCCTGGCTGGACTTGAAGATGGCACAGCCTGGCTCAGAGGACAGTGTGTATGGCATCTCCACAGCAGGGGTTCCACAAAAGCTAGCAGCTGGAAAGGGAGCAAAGCCCAGGTTTAAAAAATAAAGTCCTCTGCATGAGAGCAGAGGGAAAGTTATTTGGGTAGAAGGGGACTGACAAGGCAAGCCAAGGGGATGAAAGGGATCAATGTCTAGTGAAATGGGTGTCTGAAAATGACACAATGAAACTCAGTCACTTAGTATGCTAACTTGAGAAAAAAAAGTCCTTTAGTCATGAAATCAACACTTCTCAAGACCCACTCTGAATTCTTTGGTCTGCCTAACACAGAGTTATGGCAGCTCATAACTGTAACTCCAGTTCCAGGGGATCCAACACTCTCTGGTCAACACAGGCGCACAGCACACACATGGTACTCAGATGTATAGGCAGACACAACAGAATAAAAATGTCTTCAAAGACAGTAGGCATTGGGGAGGAATTTTATTTTTCATCTTACCATGCTGCATGTACACACAACATTGATATATACAGCTTGAACAAATACAATTTATACATAAAATACAACGTGAGTGTGGCTTCTGAATTAACACAACAAACTTACTATACAGTCTGTATCCTGGTTGGTAACAGCATTACAGTACTGCTGCTCAGATTTCCACTGATTCTAATTAGTCAAAACTGCAGGGTCAGCTCAAAGGCACTAGGAAGAACTATGTTTTCTAGTAGTTTAAAAAAAGAAAACAATTATATATATTAAGAAACGGGGGAGAGGGGCTGGGTGTAGTGGTGCACAAGTGTAATCCCAGCAATCATGAGGAGGAGGTAGAGGAGGATCAGGAGTTTAAGGCCAACCTGAGCTACATACAGGGTTTGTGGCCAGCCTAGGCTACATAGGACTCTTATCTCAAAATAGAGGGGGAAGGGGGGAGAAACTGGGCAGACACAGGTGTGTGTAAATGTAAACTTCGCCCATTCCTTAATTCACAGCTCTATAGGAAAGAGGGTGTTTCTTGCCTTACAACTTAAAAGGGGGCAGGGAGATGGGATACATCCTAAACCTAAAATGAAAATAGAAATACTAAAACTATAATCATAACTTTAAAAACATGTTGCAGATAAAGCAACACTTTCCCCTCCAAAATAACCTTGATGTTCTGGCTGCCAAAAACATAAACTAGAAGATCACCTTTTCCAGAACATAAATGAGACAGCCTGTGGGAGGGCTCACTGTCAGGTAAACACTGGCTGCACAGCCTTCCCCTCGGCTAAGCCTGAACATCACAAGAGCAGACACTGAGTGGAGAGAGCCTGGCTGGTAGAGCATGTAAGTGCAGAGCCAGCATAGCTTCCTATTAGGGTTCCTTTCAAATAAATAAATATTACTTTTTAAATTAAGAAAAAAAAGGATACTTGTCAATATCCTATTTATAGATCTGTCCCACTCATTTAAAAGCTGTACATTTATTTTAAACATTAAGCAAGTTTGTTCTCCATCTCTATCCATTCATGAAATTAACACTGAAAATACAAATGATTCCTTTTGAGGACAAAGACACAGTAAATGAGAAGCAGAAGTGGGTGTCCTACCATCTCCACACAGACCTCCCAACCTGGCAAGAATCTAATTTGGTTTTCAGAAAATGAACAATGTCCACCTGACTAGAGTTTTAGCACACATGCTTTAATAAAGATTGCTGGCATGATGACGTCACCTGCAATCTCAGCACTTGGGAGGCTGAGGCGGAGGGATCATGAGTCCCAGGCCAGCCTGGGCTAACACAGAGAGATCCAGTCTCAAAACAACAAGCAAGCAAGCGAACAAAATTACTAGGGCAAGATGCTTAGAGAATTTTCTCAGTATTTTCCATTTTTATGGAGTTCTTTTGTTACTGTTACAGGCTTTAACACACTAGATTCAATGTCTCTAATGTTTTAGTTTAATTCACAGCAGATATTCCTTCCAGACCAACCAAACTGTTAAATGATAGAAACATGGACACGAAGGCATGTAGATTCTTTTTCCTTACTGGTAAAACTAAGATTCTGTAACTACTAACAGTTAAGTTTACACCAGGAGAAATATGACACCACCAAGACGCTTGGCTCACATGAGCCTTTACAAGACACACACTCTGCTCAGTGCGTCACAGCACCCAGGCCACATCCATTACCTTGAGGACACCACCACAGTGCCATGGTCGTATCAGCACATGCTGCACATACAGGACACTGAGCGGTCCTTCTGGAAGGCTCCACAAATGTATGACCACAGTTTCCATCCCTCACCAGGGCTCCACCCTGACTCAGCCAGCCACAGCCTACATACACCCCCTCCGGAATGATAAGTCAGTATTTACCCTGCTTGTTCAAATCACAGGAGCCTAAGGAATCCTAACTTGGGAAGTCTCAAAACCTTTGCAATCAAGAGCTTGGAGTTGATTGCACAATTTTGAACTTAGAAAGCATGATAGGCTTCAGAAGCACATAACTTTCAAAACAATTTTATAAGTAGACACACAAAAAATAAAAACATTTATTGTAAAAAAAATTGTATTATAACTCATTTTACTACATATTGAATATAACTTTTTTTGGAGAGGAATATGGACTAACTGGATTAGCCATAGAAGAAATTCTGAGAACGGCATTATATATATAGATAAATGCTATAAAGAAAATTAAAAGGTATTTTCTGGCTTAGCTTCATTTTCTGAAAAAAATGAGAATCATTTCAATTTGTATATAGTTATTTCCATCAAAACTTAAATTCAGACAATGGAGTCTCTGTCTGTAAGCCACATGTTCAAAGGAATTTTTAAAACTGTGTAGAGCAAAGCCAAATGGCCACCGCTGGCTGTGGTGGGGAAGCCAAGCCAGCAGCAGCAACAACAAAGGCTGAATGTGGACTCAGGGAACAGAAACTGGTGGAGGGTGGCCAGACGCTGGAGCACATGTTCAAACTGTACCTTGAAAATGTCAACCTACAAAGCTGTCCAATTACACAGTTTTCTATAGGAGATCCGTAAACTCAGTCATCTCATACCTAAATGTAACAAACGTTAGTATAAAGTCGGAATGCAGTTAGACAGGCCTGTTGGGTGTTAGGACAAGTGACTGCTCAGATGAGCCACCCAGGAGTTGACACAGAACACAGGACAAGGCGATCTGCCATGCGCAGTGTGCAAACAAGACAGGCAAGTTTCTTCTCCTCTGAGATTCTGCTTATCTAGATACGCAACAGTTGAGTACACGGCTAAGAGATGCACATTCGAATACAACCACAGCACTCTGTAAGAACTGTGTCCTTACTTCCACAGAGCACTGCGGCACGGTGTGGCATCCTCAACAATCATGAGCTATGTGCACTTACATGATACAGAAACTTAAGAATCTAAAAGTTAGTAGGAAAGTTGCTATTTCCAGTCTCACTCTATAATTTACAGCTTACATTATGTGAATTACACAGGTGTCCTCAGTGTCTTAATTAAGGATTTCTGTCCAGGCATGAGAATATCACTCTTTTTTATTATAACCTTAATTCTGTAACATTTATTGAAGTAATGAATCAATTACGGTCTCGGGCTTTGCAGAACGCTTTCTGTTAAGAGAAGGAAAAAAAAAAGCAAGATGAGTGCTTGTCCCTAAGAAACTGTCAACACATTATGTGGCCAGAGTCCACAAATGGACCAACACTGGCCATGCTTGACCACAGCAGTCTTGACTGATACCCAGAGTAGGCAAGGTCACTAAAAGCAAACACAAGAACACAGTGCTACAGTACGGTGTTCCAGAGTGGTGAGGAGCTGAGCACAGGGTCAGACAAGGTGCAGACAGGTGTCAGCTAAGCTTATCAGGGATGCCCCTTGGTCATCTCCTCCTCCTCCTCCTCCTCCTCCGAGGAGGAGGAGGAGGAGGCTAACAGTACAGAGAGCCTCAGAGAAGCAGGACACACAGTGTCTGAGGCCTACAGGAGTACTCTCATGTGCCTTCTTTATTGCTGACCAGCACACCAAACTGCATGCCTCTCATGAGCACTGCAGGGGACACTCACCACAGAACACAAACACATCATTCATTGTACATATTTGCTTATTTCCCAGGAAAACCAGTTTCTGTTGAGTTGAGTCTGGATCACATGTTGGCCCACAAATATTTTCTTTAACTTAAGCTAAACAAAAAGCATATTTTTACAGTGGTGCATTATAGAAACTGTATCAAAATAGCTTATCAAATTATTTGTTTTAAGGTCTACACAGTTTCAAAAACGTGGCTGAACTTGAGAGAGCTCATGTAAGTAATCTGGATTCTCTTTATAAAGACAACGGTCCGGCAATGATGGGGCCTCTGTTCCTCACTAACAAGGGACAGAACCACTTTCCAGCTTGCTCCCTTGCCCTCCTCTGCCGGTCTCTGTCAAGCTGTCTCATTACCATGGGCCACGTCTGAGTGCATCTCCCTAACGACCTCAGAGCTCAGAGCAGGGTATCTACTAACCTTGTAACAGGCAGGGATTGTTCAAGAGCTGTGTCTTAGAACAACTTACTTCATTCCCTGATACTACACGTGGGGGCTGCAGAGATGCCACAGCACCTATGAGCACCTGTTGCTCTTCCAGAGGACCTGAGTTCACATCCCAATACCCACATTGGTGGCTTACAACCAACTAACTATTCCAGGAAATCTGATAGTAGTGCACATATAAACATGCAAGCAAAACATTCGCATATAGATAAAATCAACATTTATATATTTTTAAAGATTCCATGTAAATATTCACTTAGCATTTGAAAATCTTTAAATTCTTCATTTAAATGATAAAAAATGCAAAAATCTTATACATTTTAACAAGTAGCTCATTCTTTCTAGCCCTAGTTTAATGATTTCAACATTTTTAGTGTTACATTGCATCTAAAAGACTATGTAACAAAGACATGAGACCATTACCTTCACCTTACATGTACAGCAAAGGTCTTCCACTGAGCTTATGTGATAAGGCACACAGACTACACAATGGTCAACACTGGTGCTACAGAGTCACACAAGCCTCCCTTAATTTGAGACCTAAGAAATCAATGTCCTTGGAGCAATGCCTACTGTCAGAAAAACTGACCAGAGGAATACAGCACTTTGGGAGTCAAACAAGGCAAATGAATTAGCATCTTAATAGGAGACTTACACAAGACAGTAGGTGGAGGGTAAACACTAGGAAAGAACAAAGCGAGTTGAAGTTAGCTCCAAAGTCTGAAAGAATGCAGTTCTTTTTCTGTTTTGTTTTGAGACAGGGTCTCATTATGCAGCCCTGGTTGTCTTGAAATTTGTAATGCAAACCAGGCTGGCCTGTAACTCACAGCATCTGCCTGCCTCTGCCTCTTAAGTCCTGGAATGAAAGGTGTGTACCATCACAACTGTCCCAGAATGTAATTTTTTTTTGTTTGTTTTGTTTGTTTGTTGAGACAGGGTTTCTCTATATAACAGCTCTGGCTATCCTGGAACTTGCTCTACAGACCAGGCTGGCCTCAAACTCACAGAATACAAGTCTTTATCCCTATTTTGCTTATCAAATTGTAACTGCATAAAGAATATAATTTCAAACCACATGTCACATTAACTAAAGTTCGACTTCCTTTAGATGTGTCTAAATATAGTATCACAACATTGTCACTTCAGGACTTGGGGACTTGGGACTGTCCTCACCTTCTCCCAGTCTTTGGCCTTGCTTTCCCCTTGGAGGTCCGTGGCCTTTCTAACTTCATCAAAGACTGACGCAGACTCTCCTCTGTATAGGCAAGATACACATGGGAAAGGTCTACTTCAAAAGGCTACAAGAAAAAAACACACACACAAGGGAAGTTAAATCAGATTGGGGAAGATTGAAAACACAGACTGACACTGGGCACAAGACCACTGAAGACAAAACCAAACAACCTTTTAAAGACGTCTTCCACTCTATTATGTAAAATGTACTCAAAGCTGGAGAATTAGAAGCCCAGACATTTCATCAAGCTCCCCAGACATAAAGGAAAACTGTCTCTTTCTCTAAAACCAGCACCCCGGTTGATCTAGGACTCAGGGAAGCAAGGCACCCTAGTCTCCTGGGACAGCCCACCTCCCAGAGTGGTGAACAGGGCACACCAGAGTGACAGCAGGCCGGACCTGTGGCAGGACTGAAAATGCAACTTTTGCTAAGTGTGTGCCAGAGAGCAGACCTGTCCCAACAGCCCCGACCCGAGAGCCTCTACTCACTACAGACAATCCAGCTGCTCAGCCCACACGCTGGAACAGCACAACAACCGACCCACACTCTGATGAAGACAAACAAGGGTTCAAAGTGCTCTTACGTCTCTCTCCTTCTTGTCAGGCACTGGAGTTTGTTTCCTCATGTTGTTTCCTGTGTAGGCCACACATTTCTCAAAAAAGGGAAAGAGGGAAGAGAGATGTCTGAATCAATACTGTGAACTGGGAAGGCTGCTGTAAGACATCCTGACAGATCACTAGGAAGCATGATGTGCATCCCGGGGCAGAAAAGATCCAACAGGTCACCCAGTAGCCAGAAGCCCCAGGCCTAACCCATCGCCATGAATGGTCCCCACTTTGCTGTTACTCAGAAAAAGACCCTATCTGGTCCACTGCGTTCTGATCTGGTCCACCCTGTACCACCTTCCTCCCCCAGCAGCCAGCACCAGCTCCCTCCATAATCCCTCGGGGTGAAAGAAATACTCACTAGCTGCCATTCTCCTATGTCTTCATTCCAATGGACATAGTTTTCAATCATTTCCTTTACAAAGAGTCAAAGCCTTCTTTTAGTCAATAGTTAAAATACTGAAAATACAAACACAACTGTGACAATAGAAACATGTGACATTTTCCTGTATCTGTCACTATATATTGCTCATGGTAATCCCTCTGACTTCCTCATGCCTTCAACTAAGCTCTTTTAAGGGCCTTGCATTCTCTCTCTCTCTCTCTCTCTCTCTCTCTCTCTCTCTCTCTCTCTCTC